TGCTATTTGTTGAAATAAAAGAAATTTAGTCAAAGTAGGTCAAAATTGTAATCAAGTTAAAATTATATGTGTTCCGACGGATCACAAAACAAGTTAATTGTATATTTATGTTGGAAAGTGTCTTAATAGATTTCATTGCTCAAAAATAAAGAATTTAGGTAGATACTTCAAAGTTAGTATATTCCTTATATATCCCTTAATTGATATACTGTGGGCATTTTGAAATCATTTTATTAATTAAAGTATATTCACCGGTTAATAAATCTGTTGTATTGCCATCCAATCAAAGTATTAATCAGTTGTTAATATTAAAGTTATTAGTTCTGCCAACGGTTTGATGAATTGTTTATTTATAATTCTTGTGGTTTCTGCTCTAATGTTGTTAATACCGGGTGATTTTTTCTTCTTAAGTGTTTTAATAATGGGTACATGTAAACTCGTCACCAATTAGCATAAATACCCTCGAAGATAGTACAAACTCATCACTGCCAGAAAAGTAGGGATTTTCAAAGAGACCCCGAGAGATTGGTAAACTCATCACTGGTCTACCTGTGATAGATATAGAGCATAAACCCCTTGCAAACCGCTAAGGTTTGGTAATTTGACAGAATAATTCAAATCCAGATATATTAAATGTAAATACAATTCATTTGTTTTTATTTGGGAATTCCAGTAGCTGCCTAGCTATGACAGCTACTGACAACTATGCGAATAGAAAAATTTCTCTTCATTTACCCTTGTTTCTTCAACATGGATGGTGAACCGCTCATTGATTGCGTTCTGAGCCAACGCGGATGAAAAATAATGGTTATCAATAATTTTAAATTTCAATTGCGAAAGACTCTTGTTAGCCCCGAAAGAGCTCTTGTTAACGAACGTTTTTTTCAACGGGTAACGGGCCGATGCTAAACGGGTACCCGTGTAAGAAAAATATGGATACATTATATTTTGTTAGAAAGAGAAAAGTATGGTGCTTTTCATACACTTTACGAAGAATTGAAAAAAGACGAAACAAACTTCTTCAATTACTTTTGTGGACTTATACGACGAAAAGGTGAAAACCTTTTTTTGTTGTTGTTTCGCACTGGTGTTCGCTGATCATTCTGATCAAACAGAAAAAAAATCAGCTTAATTATTAGGTTCGTCAAGTTAACTGTTGATAAAAATATCGGAAGAGAAATGAAAGGTAGATTTTATGTTATCAGACCAATAACGAGATGAGAACAAGAGAACAAGAGAACAGAGAGAACAAAAACGGTGTTAGAAACAGCAGAGATGAAAACACTTGGAAAATCGATGGGAAAACACTATGAACAGAGCTAGAAGTACAAATATACGACATAGATGCAAGGTGGAGAACATTAAGGACTGGGGAAGAAATAGAAGAGTAGAATGAAACGTTCATGTAAGCCGAATAATAACAAATAGAGTACCTGGTAAAGATTTGAACGTGTGAAAGAAAGAACTGAACACGTGGATTCGTACATCTACTTGAGAACAAAAGTTAACTCAAATTGGGATCAAGCGAAGGAAATACGTATAAGAGTAGAAAAGGCAAGAGCATCGTTCACTAGAATGAAGCAAATTTTCACCTCTAAAAGCCTTACCCTACCTCTCAAAATTCGACTTCTGAAATGTTATGTATTCCCGGTTCTGTTATATGGCATGGAGGCGTGGAAAATGACCGCAACATTGATGAAAAATGTAGAGGCCTTCGAAATGTGGGCTTACCGACGTATATTACGTATATCCTGGACTGAGCACGTGACCAACGAAGAGGTACTACGCCGGATAGGTAAAGAGAGAGAGGTAGGAATAAGTATACTTAAAGAAAAGAAAGTTAGAATACTTGGGTCACGTTATGAGACATAATAAATATAGAGTACTACAGCTGATCGTTCAAGGGAAAATAGACAGCAGAAGGGGTCCAGGGAGAAAAAGATACTCGTGGCTCCAAAACTTGCGGCAATGGTTCGGATTGTCATCTACTGAACTATTCAGATCTGCCGTAAACAAAGTCAGAATAGCCATGTTGATTGCCAACGTTCGGAACGGACACGGCACATGAAGAAGAAGAAGGTAAAGATTGCAAGAGACCCCAATAGGAAGACGATAAGTAAGAAGACCAAGAAAACCATGAAAAGACAATTTACTAGAGGCACAATAAAGGAGGTTATTCTTATTCTCTATAAAAAGTTCTGAATGGTCTAAAACCTAGAATACAATGATCTGATATTAAAGTTTTTTAAACTTAATTTTTAAATTTAATTTTTTAGTTGTATACGTGGTTTGTCAACAGATATTAATTGTGGATATTGTCAACTCTGAATAAAATTCATAGTTTTTAACCAACTATAACATACATAGTTTATGGATTTAACTAGTCCTACAGTTATACAACTTTGGCGCTTCTTCTCGTGTTTTTTTTTAGTTCTTAGAGATTTTAAAAGTTCTTAATGATTATGTGTTGTTCTCTGCTTAGTTTTGTATAACTATTTTTTAGGTTAAGTGGTAAACAAATAACAGTCGCTTCATGATCAATAACACAATATTTAATGAAATATGTGAAATTTTCATTTGTGACGTCTATTTTTCGTGATTTTCGTGTTCCATTGTAGCTGTTTCTTCAATAATTAAGTATTTAGTGTTAGATTTATTGACAATAGCTTCTGACTTTATTCTGGACATAATGTTTAACAACATCAATTGCTAATACAGGTTAAATGTAAAAAAACTTAATCTTGTTCAATATTTTAATCAATTAAATCTTGTTGGCTCGTCTGAACATGACATGACTTAATAATCAGTCACATAACAGAAAGAAACCTACTCAAGCATGCTTAAATATTTTTATCGACATAGAAAGAGATTTGAAGTTAAGTTTGCTAAAACGTAAAAACAAAATAAATGATTTTTTGTAGAAAAAAAAACCAATTGAATAATTTACAAAAGGACTATCATAAAATCAATAGTATAATCATATATATCAATGAAAACCATTCTTCTTCTTAACGTGCTCTATTAAGTCCCCTTAACGTTGGCGATTAACATGGTGAAACTTTCTCTGTCTCGAGCTATTCTAAAGAGTTGCTCAGCTTTCTTTATTCCTGTCTATTCCCTGATATTCTTCAACCAAGAGGCCTGCTTTCTACCAATTCCTCTGCGTCCTTCGATTTTACCCATCATAATAAGTTGAAGAATATTATATCGGTCTCCTCTTACTACGTGTCCAAAATACCATACAAATAACCATATAAATTTGAATGAACCTCGTAATACAATAATTGTAGATAAAAGTATCACAGTCAAGGAAAAAGTGTAATAATGATGTACAAGTTCCTTCTGCTACACGAGAAAAAAAAATATAGATTCCAGCATGCAATTTTCTGCTGAAGAGATTAAAACTGCAATTGGGAATAATCAAATATGGTTATCTGTTGACGAGATGACTGATATTAAAGGACGTTATATTGCAAATTTGGTTATAGGAAGTTTAAACAGGAGTGAATGTAGCCCCGAATATTTAGTTTTCGTTAAAGTTGCAAAAAACGAACAATGTAACTATTTGTAGATTTGTAAATGAATGAGTAACTTTTTTACCCCAAACGATACCAACTAAAAAATATTTTTTCCAAATTTGATACACGTTACCTGTTTAGCACATGCTTTAAATAGAGTAGCAGAAACGGTAAGGACAGACAGGACTTTCCAATAGTCAATACCCTTGTATCCAATATAAAAAAAATTTAAAAGCCTTTCTGTCAGTAAAGACGTATAAAGATCGTTTACCTAATGTACCTTTACCACCTGAATCGGTAATAACTAATGGGGAACGTTGTTAAATACGATAAATTTGATAACCGATAATTTTGAATGAATTGGGGACATCATTTGTAGTTTCGATGTTGATAGCTCAGGTGCTATAAAAAAAATGTGTGAACGTTTAAAAAAAAATGTTATTAAAAAGGAATTTGGCACATATCCAAACTAATTTTGCAAATAATGCTGAATAAATTACTCGATTATAAAAGCGAAATATTTCATTAGACCAAAGTATTGAAATTATCAAATCATTAAATGAAAATCTGCGCAGTGTTAAAGAAACATGAGGGATATCAAAAATTAATTCAAATAAATAGTATTATTAAGATGAGGAATTGTGAAGATAATTTAATTTTACAGGTAGAATTCTCAATTATACAATATTCTAAGATTGCTCCTTTAATTTCGTGTGAAGTAGAAAGAAGTTTTTCAGCATATAAACAATTATTATGAGATGACGGCACAGTTTTTGTCAAGAAAATGCAGAGAAACATTTAATAATATATAATTTTAACTGTAATAATAATATAATAAAGAATGATGATGAATTAAAGAATAAATGCATTTAATGATGTAGATAATACAAATTTCAATAAATATTTTTGTGACTTTAGCATAAAATAAATTAAATACCTTCAATACAACTATGAGTGCATAAAAGCATATTTTAGTGCATATTTCAACTGGTTTTGTGCATATTTGCATGCATATTTTAGGGTTTTTTAAGTGCATACTTATTTCTCGAGCTCTACTTATAATTTATAGCAACACCCTGGACTAATTATATCAAAAATCTTATAGATTATTTTCATTAATGTTAAATAAGTTTTATATTTTGGTTCAAAATTATCAATAACACAGTTGTGACAGCTTATTTACATTTTATATTGTATTTTATTCCAATTTTGTCAGGATGGCCACACTATTTTTATACATTTTTGAACAAAACTTAGACAAAAGGTATCGATATTTATAGTCCTGTATAAAGTTTGATGTAATTTTCTGTCATAAAATCTGAGCTATCACATATTTTCTAACCGAGTGTTTTTATAACAACACCGAGAAAAACAATAACAAAAACCTTTCGAACAACCGTTTCCGTCGATTAAAATCTTAGTTCAGATTCGTTTTGTAATTCAAAAGTTTATAAAAAAAAAAGAAAAATATATTTGACCTACCTTGTGGAGAGTTCGACCTGAACCCGTTGGGTCCTATCCACTGAAAGGGCCACTGAGGATGGTTAGGTAACATTCTAGGTAATGAAGGGTGCAAGGGTTGTGGAATAAGCACAGTATGCGATGAGTTCGGGCTCAAACTTTCTCTTCCATCCGTATCGTCGTCATCTACTGTAATATTCTCGTCGTCGTCTTCATCTAATCGATCACTAGAAGTCTCCAGTCTGTTATCGTCGATATCATCCTCGTATTTGTCTTCTAAATGGTGGCTGTCGTGAATGGGGGCTTTATTCGACAACAAAGATTCCACACTAAAGGATATTTTGTGTTTGATGTCCGTTTTTGGGTCCTCCATCTTAAACTTATCACTATCACAGAGTTTTTAAAACACCGATGGGGTGAACACTGTTTTTGACACTTTTTCAGATGCTGCCAGCACTGCGTTCAGAACTACACTGTCCTGGCACAAGTCGAGCGGAGTGGGACCATGCCATCGATGGGCGGGATCTGTCACGAGAGTGACTCCGCCCCTTCTTTATTGCCTAAATCAGGAGGTACAATTGATGACCCTCACTAAATTTGTGCTGCTGAATGATGCTAGCGTGATTTAGCCTTATTATATCATTTGTCCTTATGTGTCTAGTATTAATTCAATTTGATTAGACGGGCTATTATTAATATGTATGGTTGCGGATTGATTTCGTTTTGCTACGATTGATAGGGTTGTTCGATGGGGTTAATTTTAGATACTGATTTACCAATTCACTCTAAATTTACAATTCATATTTGCAATTGGCACTAAATATTCTCTTAATTCCATAATATGGACGGATAAAGAAAAAATACCATAAACGCACAGAACTCCAAGACAACTAATTGAGAAAAGTCGCAAGTTAGAATTTTTATAGCAGAAAAAGTCAAATGGCTTCAAATTGGTCTAAAAAATTGTGAACTATATTATTATTTATGTTTATTATTATTTATGTTTTTAAGGAAGCCAGTATAACTACAGGAAATATGTACATATGCACAAAAAACAGTTGAAATATGGACTAAAATATTCTTTTATGCATTTCGCATATAAATAAAAAACGCAGTAATACTTGTAACGTAATGTAATGTTTATTTACGGACTTGCCGTTTTTTTACAAATCAACTTAATTTTAGCTTATACTATTAAAACACAATGTGATTACATAAAAAGGTATTTTCGATCTTATTCTTAATAGTACTTGGTGATAAATGAAAAAATCATTACTATTAAATTTATCTGCATTTCTACACATTCTCTGTAAGGGCTTATTTACAGTATAAGTTTGATTATGAAGTTCTAAATAAAATAAGTCTTGGGATCTGGTGTCTCTACAGGGAGTACGGAAGTAAACCTTTTCCAAAAGAGCACCAGCATCAATGCCTACTCGTATTAATTTATATATAAATGCTACATCTATTCAATTTCATTTACAAGTATTTTCAATTAATAAGCAATAAATCTTAAGTAACTTTTTTCTAACTGTACTCTTTCTAATAAATCTTCTTATCATTTATATTGAGGAGACCAAATATTGCTACTATATTCCAAAACCGATATAATACGGGAACAGTAAATATTTTTAAGACAATAAATATCATCAAATTCAGAGAGGCTGCGCTTCATATAACTTGAAAGTTTCATAGATCTATTAGAAACGTAAGAAAATTGGTCCCTGAAGCTTACTGTAGGGTCAAAAATTACCCCAAGATCCCTAAATGTTGTAATTACCTCTAAAATATTCGAAATATGGTATTCAAATGAAATAGGATGTTTGTTTTTAAAAAGTCTTATTCCATTTCATTTATTTATGTTCAAATTAGTAGTTCAAAACAGTACTCCTAGCTTCTAGTCAAGAAGATCTGCAAACACTATTTGATAGTGTCGTTGAGAGTTGTAGGGAGGCAGGTCTGGATCTGAACATACGGAAAACCAAAATACTTGATAAACTTGAAAATAAAGTTTTTATTTTCAAAATAATACCAAACTTGAGCAAGTTGATAAAATCGTTTACCTTGAACAGCAATTAAATTGTAACGCAGAAAGTCACGGCGAAATTAGATCCAGGATAGAGCAAGCTAGAGCCGCTTTTAGAAGGATGTCCAAGGTGTTATGTAACAAAGACCTAAAACTGGCATTAAGGATCCGCCTACTTCGCTGCTACGTGTTCTCGGTCTTACTTTATGCTGTCCAGTCCTGGACTGTGAATAAAATCGATGTAAATCCCCTTAAGGCTTTCGAAATGTGGTGCTATAGAAGAATTCTAAAATTGTTCTCCACAATACTAGAACGTCTCAGCAAGACTACTAAGATCATAAAAAGCATCAAGCAGAGAAAGTTGGAGTATTTCGGATATGTTATGAGAGGTCCCAAATATAGGTTGCTACAAAATATCATGCAAGGAAAACACCAGGCAAACGCAGTCCAGGACGAAGGAGAACCTCATGGTTGAAGAACTTGCGAGATTGGTATGGTGTTGATGCAAGCATGCTATTTAGGGTGGCAGTGAATAAAATTAAGATAGCTATGATGATAACCAACGTTCTGAAAGGACATGGTACATGAAGAAGATGTTCAAATTCAAAGCATTTAGGTTACACCAATCCAATAAACTACCTAATCATTCTGTAATAAACTACAGTCAATGGATTTTTTTATGACTATACATTTTAAGATCATCAGCATAGAAAAGAATATTACTATGATAAAAACAATTTTTTATATCATTTACAAAACAATTAAAAATCAGAGGAGATAAATGTCCATCCTGTGGAACACCAGAGGTTACATTGATAGTATATGACAAAAATTAGTTAATTTTTATAACTTGAGTTCTATCTGTAAGATAGCTCTCCTACCAGCCTAGTAATCTTCCATGTAAACCAGCATTATAGAGTTCATTACAAACTCTATCGAATGCCTTCGAAAAGTCGGTGTAAATTACATCAGCCTGGTCATAACCTTTAAGAGCATTAAACAAAAATTCTTGTAAAACTAAAAGATTGGTAGAATTCTATAAGTAGTAGAAAGTCCTAAAATAAAACCATGTTGGTCGGGCATTAAAGTAGGTTTCAATAATGGACCAAGTTTTGCGGCTACATACAGTCTCTTCAAAAGATTTAGCGAAAACTGAAATTTTAGATACAGCTCGGTAGTTTTCAATATTTTCTCTATTACTATCTTTATGGTCTTGGGTAATTTAACTTTTCTTCCATATTTCTGAAAAGACACCTGAGCTTAATGATAAATTAAATATTTTTTGTAAAATATAACTCAGAATAAATCTACAATTAAATATCAATAAAAGAGATATATTATCAGGTCTATAACTTACTTTTAGATCAGAGTTTACAGCTGGATAATCTGTATTAATAGTAACATAGGTTGAATTAAAAAATTTACTAAACAAATTTGCTATATTTTCGGAATTATCAGAAGTTAAATTCTCATATTTCAAATCATGAATGTGTTGCTTGTGTGAGTCCATTTCAAATAGGTAAAGAAATAATAAATAAGACTTACAATCAATTTAATTTAACTATCAGACGACCGGTTTCGCTTTCTACAATATGCAAAGCATCTTCAGGTCTCGATACAAAGTTAAATAAATGCGAAATGATAAAAACCCATATTAGGGTGTTGTCTAATAAAGATAAACAAATTAAATATTGTAAAGTACAATAATTATGCCAATATTACATGTCTGTGGTTTTATTTCAAAATGAGTAAGTTGAATAAAAAGGTATAAAAAGTTTTAAAAGTTTAAACAGACAAGGTAAGGCCGACAAATTGTTATAAAATAGTCTATTAGATAAATTAATAAATGAGCAAATAAATAAACATTACTTACATGCCGGTACTCTATTAATTGATGGATGGTAGAACATGGTTGAAACTACTATGTATTGTTGAATGGAGAACTCAATTCTGCTATTGTAGTTGTTTGACAGTAAACGGAAAGTTCTTGAGGAGATAGATTTGATCCAATGAAGCAGAGATATGTGTGTGATTGTTTGTTAAATGAAAGTGATGTTATATACCATTGTATTATTTAAAAGTTACTTATACTTATTCGAGAGTTATATTTATAAAATGTGTGTTATTTATTGAGTAATTGTTTTATGAAGGTGACAGTTTTATGACAATGAATAAGTTTAGATGTACAAATTGTGTGGGTGTGCAATTATTTTTCAACTTGTAATTATCAAATTTCTTTGATAAAGTTCTATTGGCAAAATAGTAGATTATTGCAAAGTCAAGTAAATAAAATATTAGAATTAAAACAATTAAGGACAATCTAAAACACACTAAAACAGAAAACACTTAGAAGGGACGAAACAAACATTAAATTTAAAAAGGGAAGGACTTTTATGCACTACATCTCAGTCTTGGGCACAATGAGTTTTTTATGTGTTATCTATTAAATTTTAGTGGTAAATTTGACATATGTAGGTTAGCATGTGACAGTTCTTCTTCTGTTTCTCAATACTGCAAGTTAAGTTATCTAGTTTTATGAAATATGTTATATATTAATACCAGCATTTTGCATGAGCAACCTTTCTTTGAAATAACATAATATGTTATTATGTGAGGAGTGTATCGTTTCGAAAATTTTGAGTTTTTGCATCTAGTTTATGGTACATATCGATTAATACAGGAATCTAACACCTCATAAAATTTTTCAACGCTATTATTTACATCTGTCTTATCAATAATCCTATCCCAGTTAACTGAACTAAATTGTACTGAAGGTATTAAATTTATTTTATACCAAGTCAAAAAACATATTTATTGAAATTTGTATTATCCACATCATTATATTCATATATTCTTTGATTCATCATCATTTATCATCATCATCCTCATTCTTAATTAAACTATTATTACAGTAAAAACTATATATTATTAAATGTTTCTCTAAATTTTCTAGAGAAAAACTGTGCCGTCTATCTGATAGTAGTAATTGTTTATATGCTGTAAAACTTCTTTCTACTTAACATGAAGTTCAAGGAGTAAACTTAAAATATTGTATAATTCAGTGTTCTACCTGCAAAATTAAATTATCTTCACAATTCGACATCTTCGTAGTATTATTTATTTGAATTATTTTTTGATATCCCTCATTTATCTTAAACACTGCGGAGAATTTTTGATACAATTTGTTGGTTTCCCCAAGGTGTTAAATTTTTTCATTTATTGAATTGATAATTTCAACACTTTGGTCTAATGAAATATTTCGCTTTTCTAATTAGTAATTTATTCAGCAACATTTACAAAATTAGTTTGAATATGTGCCAAATAACTGTTTAATAACGGTTTTTTTAAAACGTTCACACATTTTTTATAGCATCTGAGCTATCTACAATAAAAATACAAATGATGTCCCCAATTCCCTCAAAATTATCGGTTATAG